GGGGGGGGGGGGGGGGTCTTGGGCCTAGTGTGCGGCCCGACCACCTCACCTACTCGGATTGTGGTTTCCGGTCAAGAGATATTCGATTATGGGTTTGGATATATGTCCTTGCGGACGCATGTGGGCTTGACTCGGAGAACGCTATGGTGCATGCGAGGTGGTGCGCATGTTTGTGGGATCAGTTGATGGCCAAGACATACGACAAGCAATGTCTTGCGTACTCGTGGGCTCAAGGGTTGGACATAGCTGGTTTGGAGATAAGAAGGCTTCGGTCAATACCTTTCGATGGACACATGGTAGTGTTGGTGCGAAGTCTAAGCCATTCGCAAGAACGATTAGGATTTTGAATAAAGCATGCGGGTTGCATGTGGACTAATCAGTTATTAAGTCCCACATGTCCTGGGCCATCATATCCCTTCGAGATGACGCAACCAAGTGAGACCAAATGAGGCGAGACAGACGACAAGTAGCGAGACAATTTCTACGGACATGTGACGTTGGATGCACGTTCAGCCGCGCATCGGCAATCATTTGGGCGAGCAGTTGTCTTGCTGTGTAGGCATAGGTTGGATGAGTCATAAGGATGGAGTGATTTGTGAGAAATCGCATGGGCAGTTGCTAGTCGATTATACCAGCAATTAGGGTAAAGAACTGCGAGTCTAAGGCCATTAAATAGGTCGAGTGAGCATTTATGCGGGACGTGCGTGATCAAGCGAGAGAACAAGAAAGAACTTGGAAAGAGTGAACTCATTGAGTGAGATGGCATAAACACGAGGGTTCAATGGTGAGGCACTCAAATTGATCGAGCTAGAGTGCGAGCGAAGTCTTAGTATTATATACTAGTGGGTTTGCGTGAGTTGGCATACGCCAAATTTTTGTAGCGTGCATGTGTAAATCCAACATATATAAGGACGACAATAGTGTACGAGATTGTGCCTGCATGCACGAGACTGTGGGTTTAAGCCGTGTATTCAAGTTGTAGGGCATTCCATTGTATGTTGAGTAATCATAGTACTTTGGTTGGGCATGAGCCAACAATCATGCATGTCACTTATTTACTTGATAGCTTCTCTGTGCGTGTTTGATTGATGTTCTTGCATAAACCCGAATGTTACTTGTGTGAGTGAGTGAACTTTCGTGTGGGCGAGTGAATGTTCGCTGGACGGTGAGAAAGTTGATTGGTTTGTAGGAAATTAGGCCCCACGGGGTGTTAAGTAGGAAAAAAATTCTAGCCAAAAGCTAAGCCTTGTGACAAGTCGTATCAGAGGCCACGTTGGGTTCTGATTCCCGATTGTTTTGGATCTATTGGGGATTTTTTCGACCCAAAGACCTCATTGTGACATTTGAAGCGAGGATTCAAAGGCTAAAATACTTGATGGGGTGACCCCCTCAAACGCGTTTGATGGTGCCTACAAACAACTAACGATGCGCTATTGACTTAAGCGAGAAGGTGTATACACTGAGTACCTGGGTGGAGTCGTTACCCGAGTTTGTTAAAGGGCGTATGGACTCCATGAGAGGTGAGTTCTTGTTTCTATTCAAAGTGGTCGAGTTTAAGGTCACGAAGATCCAGGATGATACAACCCTACTAAAGAAAGTCGGTGCTGAGATAGAGTCCATGGCCTCTAATCAGGTATGGGATCTTGTGGAACCGCCTAAAGGCATAAAGGCCATTGGATGCAAGTGGGTTCACAAGAGAAAAAAAAAAAGGATCAGATGCTAAGGTTTAGACCTTCAAGGCCAATCTTGTAGCGAATGGGTACAAGTCTAAAGAGGGATCGATTATGAAAAGACCTGCTCGTTGGTAGCCATTTTTAAGTCCATTTGCATTCTCTTGGTTGTCGTCGCTAATATAGATTATAAGACTTATAAAGTGAGTGTCAAGACAATTTTTCTGAATAAAATTCTTGAGGAAAAAACATTTATATGCAGCAACTAGAGGGATTGGTCTCAAAGGGCCAAGAGCATCTGGTCAGTGCTAAAGCGGTCAGTTTATTGACTAAAGCAAGCTTTAAGGTATTGGAACATCCGGTTCGGTGACGTGATCCAATCGCATGAATTTGACTTTATGTCTGGATAAGCATTACGTACATAAAAAAATGACAGAAATGTGGTGTTATTTCTTGTACTATACGTAAGCGATACCGTTTTCATTGCAAACTATTTAAAAGTACTGCCAGACGCAAACATATGATTATTCAGACAATTTTATATTAAGGATATGAGAAGAGCATTGCATATCCTTTGAAATGAGAATCCTACCAGACATAATTCCTCCTTTACGCTCAAATTTGAAATGGTTAAAACTTAAAAGTACTCAAATTCTATGTCATAAGTCTGAGAGAAAACACACCAATGGACAACCTTACATGAGAAAATGACTGAGAATTGAGTTCAATGGTCAAAATATTAAGTAAAAATTGAGTCAAGCCCAAGATTCGAGAAGATAAAGAAAATGACTCAAAAATAAATCTACACGATTCGACGACAAAATCACGAGTGACCCAAACTCAAGTCGACGGACGAACTTAAATCGGACAACGACGGGCAAACTTAAATCGGACAACGACGGGCGAACTAGAATATAGATGAATCCACTAATTAGATTAATTAGCCCGAGTCATTCAATTAATTGAATTAATTAAGCCGGAGTCATTCAATTAATTGAAATAAATTAAACAAAGACTCAAGATTCGGAAATAATACAAGCATACGATAATGCTTATGAATCAATCGACACAAGAAACCATAAAGACCAACATATCTAAAAATAACCCGCCTGAGTTAACACTAGGAATTTCGCCGAACAAAAGTACCTAAAATATAAACGAGGCGAAAACCTAAAATATGCTAACTCATCTAGAACAAAAGGGGCGCTACATGGTGGTAGATTGAAAAGGTGCACAACAACTTCTTAGGGAATCTTGGGAGATCTGAAAGACGAGTGGCAAATATGTGGTGAGGTTCTTTGAATGTGCCGGTGATCAACAGCGGGCCACATGGTCACGCCAAGTGTTTGATGCAGTGAGTTTAAAAATGAGGGTGGCAGATCGGTGGGTTATGATGGTCACGACTGATGGTAGGCCTAGAATGTGGTTGGAACATCATTTTTTCTCCTCCAAAGCGATGAGACAGTGTTGGGTGGAGTTGAATGTCCATGGTGGGTTGTCCATGTCCAGTTGTGGGGATCCTCAACCTTGGAGTCCAACACTGTTAGCCCGCATGCATGTTGCTTAGTCATTGGTTTTCAGCACGCCTGTAGCCGGTCTTCGTCACTAAATCGTCCGACCGATGCTAAGAAATTAGGCTTCTACAAGATTTAAGCACTTACATTTTTCTTCTCATAATTTTTAGTAAATTTTACTTTTAACTTTTACTTTCTCTACATAAGCTTTTCTAATAGGAATCCTGGACACATAAACTTTTTCCACTAAATGTTTCTTATATTTTTGGGTTAATTGCCAATTAAACCTTGACCTTTTCACTTTTGGCAATTTAATCCAAATTTCTAGATAGATGCAATATAATCCCAGCTTTGTATTACTTTTGCAAAATGAGCTTAAAACCCATCGGACGGCGAAAAGGTGCCAGCGTGTGCGGTTGGTTTTATCTACGTGTAATTTTGAGTTTGCTTAGTAAGATTAAGTGAAATACGTGGATTTTCTGAAAAAATGGTATAAAAACGATTCCCTTCCCCAATTTCACAAATTCCCCAAATCGATATCGACTAACCCTAACTTTTCAAAGAAGAAAAAATCATTGTCGACTACAAAAATCAAACCCTACAACTGAAATCTTCTCTCTGTATCAAGAATATGCAACGAATTGGTCCCAATTGCATGAAAGTTTGTGATTCTGCATTTGAGATTCCTTCTGAGGGTGCGTTCGACATTCCTTATATGTCGAGAAAATGACAGACATGTGCGATGAATTTCTTCGACTCTTGATTTTTTATTGTCTGTGTTTTGTACCCGAGGTAGTGAGACAAATTTGGAATATTGTGTGTTTTTTAATTTCTTGTATACTCTTTGCCATGTGGTTTGTGCATTTTTTAATTCGAGATTGTGGTCCATGTTCTGTTTTCGAGAGTGTGGTCTTACATTTAGGGTTTGTTTAGAAATTCAATTTATTATTGGAATTTAGGTGTTTTTGTTTGTGAAATTAAGGTTCTTTTTGGGGAAATTAAGGCTTTTCATACAAATTAGGGGTTTTTGGGGAAATTGGGGCTTTTCATACAAATTAGGGTTTTTTGGGTAATTAGGGCTTTTCGTACAAATTAGGGTTATTTTGGGGAAACTTGGGTTTGTCTAAAGAATTAAGTATTTTGGTTGAAATTAGGGCTTTTTTGAACAATTAGGGATGTTGGAGAAATTAGGATATCTCTGAACAATTAGGGTTTTTTTTGGGAACTTTATTGTCTTATGCATTGCAGTTATTATTATTATCCTATTTATGTATTCTGTTTGCACTGCAGGGACAAATTTTTAATTTTTGTAAACTATGGAGGCCGTTTCATCAAATGTGGAACTTCTGTTGAGTATTTAGGTGGTAGTTTCAAGACAATTCATGGTTTAGATGTGGATAGGTTTGGGTATTTTGACTTAAAAGAAGAAGTTGAGAAGTTGGGGGTTGATAAGTTTGGAAAACTTGTATACATAATACCAAGGAAGGTTGGAGCAGACAACTTTAAAGATGTTGTTGATAATAGTGCAGTTATGGAGATGATTGGTCATGCTACTAGGGAAAGAACATTATTAGAAGTTTATGTGGTTGGAGAAATTATAGAGGAAGGTAACAATGAAGAAGAAGTTGTTGTGGAAAGTGCATCTAGGTCAGATGAACAATTTGATATTGATTCATATATAGATAATTTTTCCAAACCAAAGAATCCTGATGATGTGGGTTTAGGAGCTGAGTCACAAAAAGATGTGGTGACTGTGAAGTTAGAAGTGTGTCTGGGGGTTTAGGAGCTGAGTCATAGAAAGATGTGGGTGATTGTGAAGTTGAAAGTGGGTCTGGGGATGATAGTGAGGATGAAGACTATTTTCCTATTGATGAAAGCAAATCTGATGATGAACTTTCTGTTGATGATCTTGCTTCTGATGATGATGGTGAATATCTTGAGGCAAGACAGAACCTGAAGAAGCAAAAAAATGGGATATTAGAAGATGATGGAGAATGTGCAGACAACATCAAATCAATGAATGCCATTGATATGGACAGTGAAGATTCTGGGTTTGTAGATTGTGCATTGGCATCTGAAAATTCAGGTAGTGACTTGGAGGTGGATGAGGATGGGACTGTATAGGTAGAAAGAAAATAGTTACTTATGACTTTAATTGTGATCATAGTACTCTTGAGTTTATGTTGGTGATGAGATTTATAAGCATAGAAGAGTTGAAAAAAACAGTTGGGAATGTAGCAATTTTTCAAGGGAGAGACATAAAGTTTCAGAAAACTAGCAAGAAGCAGTTGAGAGTAGAATGTATTGATGGTTGCCCTTGGACTTTGTATGCAAGTGCAGTAATGAAAGAGGGCAGTGTAGCAATTAAGCAGTTCAACAAGGAGCACAAATGCCATAAAATGTCCACACCAGGCAAGTTACATCAGAGTGGATTGCTGAGGTGTTTCTTGAAAAATTCAGGAAGAATCCAAACATGTCCATTACCCAAATGGAAGAAGCAATATCTGAGAAGTTTGCAGTACAAACTACAAAGTGGAAGCTTTATAGAGGAAAGTGGAGAGCTCTTGAGATGCTTAGAGGTTCAATAGTTGGCCATTATGCTTATCTGAGAAGTTACATGGCAGAGTTGTTGAGGGTAGACAGAGATGGAAGGTTTGAGTTTCTTCTTGGTGAAGAAACAACATTCAGAGGTTTCTATGTGGGATTTAGTGCACTGAGAAAGGGTTTCATTAGTGATTGTAGGCCTATCTTAGGTTTTGATGGGTGTTTCTTGGAGACTTTTATAGGTGGCGCTTTATTGTGTGCCACAACAAAAGATGGCAACAATCAAATATACCATGTGGCTTGGGCAGTTGTTGAGGCAGAAAATGAGGAATGTTGGAGGTGGTTTCTAAGTATTTTTTTTACTGAGCTGGGAATTAATGATGGCCTTGGATATACTTTCATGTCAGACTAACAAAAAGTAAGTTATGTCTGTAATTAATTTATGAAGTTATTCATAAATGAATTTTTCCACTTACTTATATCTAAAATTGTATATTTTCATTTTTTTCCTTTTGCAGTGTCTTCTAAATGCATTGAAAGATTTGGCCCCACATGTTGAGCACAGAAATTTTGCAAGACATGTGTATATGAAATGGAAGAAGAGTTTCAAAGGATTCACACTGAAAACCATTTTCTGGAAGATTGTGCTCAGCACTCACTTGTGGGACTACAACATATATTTGGAAGATTTGAAGTTTGAAGACCCAGATGCTTATGATGATTTCATGGACAGAGATCCTACCAAATTCTGTAAGGCTTACATTTCTTCATTGTCTAGATGTTATATGATTGAGAACAATGTGAGTGAAACATTCAATGAACTGATTGTGAAGGGTAGAAGCAAGCACATCATTGATATGCTTGAGTTAGTTATAAGTGAGTTAATGAAAAGACAACATGACAAGTTGTTAGGACTTAGTGGATATACAGATCAAATTTGTCCTAGAATAAGAAATAAGTTAGAGCACAACAAATACATGTCTAGGAACTGTATCACAAAGCCAGCTGTTGGTGAAAGATTTGAGGTTGTGCATCAGAATGATTAGTTTGTTGTGAACTTGAAGAACAAGACATGTACTTGCAGATATTGGGATATTACTGGCATACCATGTGTACATGCATGTTCTGCAATACATTTCCAACATCAGGATCCCGTAGAGTTTGTGTCTAAGTACTACTCAATTGAAAAGTATTTACAGTTGTACAGCTTGTCATTAGAACCTATAAATGGGAAGAAATTATGGTCAGTTGCACAGGGTTACTCAATTCTTCCTCCTCCTTTTAAAAAGATTCCAAAAAGGCCAAAGAAGAAAATGAGGAAAGCACCTGAGGAAGAGATGAATTGTGGGACTAAGTTGAGGAGATTTGGGTTGACTATGACTTGTCAAAGGTGTTTTCAAAAAGGGCACAATAAGAAATCATGTTCTAATCATCCAGTGGAGAAACAACCAAAGGTTATAATTTCTATTTGAAGTCTTATTTTATCATGTTATGATAAAAATCAATTTGAAATTAATGTCCATTTTGTTTTTGTTAGGATCCAAGGGGGAGGCCCAAGAAGAATGTTGGATCACCTGTTCAGAACACAAGTTCATTGTCAAAAAAGAAGTCAAGGCAACAGTCAAGCCAATAGTCAAGCTAACAGTCCATGCAACAGTCAAGGCAACAGTCAAACCAACAATCAAACCAACAGTCATCTTTAACTCAAAAGGAAAGAGCTTTTTTTTTGGTCCGAAACGATAGATATATTATAGTCAAAGGGCACAAATGTGCAACTACAAACTAAGAGGACAAGTCCAAGGACCACCTAGAACCTCAACTAGCCAAGCTAGAAAACAAACAGACTCAACAAACTACCAACAACTAGAATCGCTCCCCACAGGAGAATAGGATCGGCCCCCACGGGGTAATCAACACAGGGGCCAACGGCCCAGACCAAAAAGACAAAACATAAAACACTCAGGCAAAGAGCCCAGACCAAAAACACTAAACTAGAACAGACTCAAGCAACAACAACAAAAACAAAAAACAACAAAGGCTAAAAATAGATAATAATAGCCCTTCTCCGGCATACGAACAGGCCTGAAACAACAGTGAACAATCGACACAGGAAGGAGTCCCTGCCCGAGGAACCGCTACCGAAACTGCGCAAGCGCCTATACAGCAGCCGAAACCGGACCCGAACCATTCCCAGAATCGACCCATCTCCAACCTAGAAAAACCGACCAATCCCCGATAGCTCCACCCGAACCCGACTAACACCACTAGCCGAGAACAATGGAACTAGGATCCCGGTCCCCCACCGCCTAACACCACTAGCCGAACAAGAGTGGGGCTGAAAGTGGCACGGTATCTCAACCCCGTCCACCGCTACCGGAAGACAGCGGCAGCCGGAGCCTCGCCCAATCCTCAAAGCCACACACCACCGGACATCACTGCAGAGACCCAACGACGAACTACCAACACCCCACCGGGAGGCCCGCCGGAGAAAGAAGAAGCGCCAGTCAGGCAAACCTCTGTCAGCCACAAACGATATCCGAGAAAAAGAGAGCATACCTCCGCCAATCAGGAGTCCACCAGTGACAGGGAGGGAAACACCCATCGAAAAACAGACTCCGAGCAAAGGGGACGCACCTTGAACCTCCGATATGCAGGCGAACAACATCGTCAGAAAAGCAGCAACCACGAGGCGCACGACATCCAGGACGAGCGAGAGGTCGGGGGCTGGCCAAGGTCTGACGTCACCGAGGAAGGCGGAGCAGCGACAATTTAAGGCGGCGGCGGCGGATTAGGTTTAGCAGAGAACTTGGGGGCGGAGAGCATTTTTACCTAACTTTGATTTATAATGTCTAGCTTGTTGTTTAGATTGGAAAATGTTTTAATCAGAAAAGATCCCTTTTGAAAATTTTGAATAATAGTATTTAGGGCAGAAAATTTCGAATAATAGTATTTAGAGCTATGGTAATAGCATTTTATATTATTAAAGTTTAGTTGATATTTTATTTCATATATTATGCTTTTCTGTGAGATTTATTGTTATAATTGTTTTTGTTTTTAGGCGAGAAAAGGATTTGGTATCCTTCAGTCTGAGGAGACTGGTAATACCTACATGAGGGAATGTCTATTACTTTAATAGCTTTCTTTGTTATCTTTGTCGTTTTTGAAATCTCATGGCTGGTTTGATACTTTGTATATGGCATGTTTTCTTTATTACTTAAAATGTCACAAATGTAGTTGGCATCAGAAAGAAGAGTACATGTGATTTCTGACAGAGGTGCTGGTTTTAGTAGGACTGGAGGAAAGGGAAAAATGCAAAGGTGGAGGAAGACTATGGATGCTTTAGGCACTCAAGAGAGTGTTTCTCGCAAAGGATAATTAACTTAGATTTCTTTTGGAGTGATGTTGATTTTTGGAGTACTTTTGAACTATGGGATGATCGACTTAGATTTACTTTTGGAGTGGTGTTGATTTTTGGAGTAGTTTTGAAATGTGGATAAACGTTTGCTTTCTGTTTTAGGCACTAAAAATGGTTTACCAATGATGGATAACTTTGTGAATGTAATGATGTTGAATTATGTTGGGTTATGTTTTGAACAAAGAATGATTGTTGAAAGAACTTAGTAATGATTTTGAAGTGTTGTTCATCTCAGATTTCTTCTTTAGATGCAGTGTTTTGTTGTGTCAAGTATGTGATGTTTTGGAAGTAAGTATTGTGTAGGTCTAACGATAATGTGTTGATTTGTTATGTTAACTATGTGATCTCAATTTCCTATAAATTGCAAAACATAACAAAAAAAAAAAAGGACAATAACAATGAGATAAAACATACCAATAGATTACATTAATTCTTAAGTTCAATACATCTATCAAATGAGATAAAAAAGAACAATATTCAAAGCAACATTTTAGGCCCCTGCTTATGACTAGATTTCCCAAGCAAACTAAGGAAAACAAACAGTATAACCATAAACAAGCAAATCATTACAAAATTCATCTTCCTTTCCAATTTATGCATAAGTGCTAATATATTTTTCAGAACCAACAGGAATTCATTGTTCTTCTGAACTTCGACCTCAAGACCATTCAGTTTTTGTTCAAACTCAATACTACGGTCCACAATTTCATCTTTTTCTTATGCCTTCCCATTGTTCATTTTCTCCACTGCAACCTTATGCCTCAGCTGCTTTTCCAAATACTCGTTCTTAGATTTCAATTGCACAAAGCAAGATTTTTGGAACTCAGGAAGTGCGGGATCAATCCACTCGAAAAATCGGCAGTCATTCCCGTCCTAAACAATGTAAATCGAAAAATTAGGGTTTTTGAAATTGAGGTTTTTAATCAAGTTTATAAAATTTAGGGGTTTTGAAGAAATTAGGGTTCTCACACAATATGCGTAGCTCACCTTCCTCTTAGGACATATATGGAACCTTCTACATGGATTCTCGTACGTCATGGAGGTGAACACATCAGCTTCGTCGCTATGGCGACAGAGCTTCTTTGAAGGAACACTGAAGCTTCCAGAACTCTAGCTTGCGCGAGATGAAGACGACATCTTTCACTAGCACAATTGTGTCTTGCGCGAGCTACCGTCTGCAAGAAAAAAAAAGTCACTGAACTTTAATTTAGGGTTACTTTTGCAAGAAAGATAGAACCAGTCGGACATGCTGGCACTTTTTCGCCGACTGACGGGTTTTAAGATCATTTTGCAAAAGTAATACAAGGTCGGGATTATATTACATTTATCTAAAAGTTTGGATTAAATTACCAAAAGTAAAAAGGTCAAGGTTTAATTGGCAATTAACCCTATATTTTTCTATGTCAACATGGTAGTAATGTATAATTTCTGGGAGTGCCACATCACCTCATTCGAAATTTTGCATTCGCTTCCATTTGCAAAATGTGATAAATTGATGTGCAATTTGGCAAATGTAAAAAATGTTGATTAAATTACAATACAATAAAAAGTGATGTCTTTTTATGCAATTTTGTCATGTTAAAAAGTACGACACAACTTAGATTAGAGTTGTCGTCGGCTCGTAGCCCTCCAACTGACGGGGCGGGATGGGCCTACAAAATGCAGGCCCAACCCGCCCCCGCCTCGGGCCGCGGGTTAGGCATGCCAGGACCGTTATTTTTTTTTTTTTGAAAAAGAAAAAGAAAAAAATTTAATTATAATTATTGTACAATAAATCTGCCAAGAAAAGGGCCATCCGCAAATGTCTAAATCTGAAAGGCTCCGAAATTGGGTCATTCGCAATATTGTACAGTAAATCTGTCTTTCATTTTGCCTCCGATATCTATTATATATAATTGCTGGCTAATGAGCATTTAATAATACTTATTAAATTTTACCTATGTGGCAATATAACTTTTCCCTCCAAAAATCGTTATTTTTTATTTATTTAACCTCTCATTTAATTGTTAGATAATCAACACATTAATCACTTCAAAATTAAAAAAATCATTTTAAACTTTTGATTTACTTACAGTTGACCATATAATGTGTTGCCCATTTAACGTGATTAGATGTTATTGTTGTGGTTACATTTAACTTAACTTATTTTAAAAAATAAGAAACGTATTTAAAATTACTAAATAAATAATAAATAATTCACAAAAGAATACATACCAAAATCAATAATGCTACTCAGCCATCCACTTTCACAACCTCTATGACAACTACTTACGTGGAAAACAATTACTTAACATATTAAAACAATTACTTACTTTATTAATGATTTACAAAAAAAAAAAAAAAAAAAAAAAAA